TGTAAATCATTCTCATCCAAAAATATACTGTGAATTATTAATGTTAATATGTATATTAATATATTAAATATTTATTTAAAAAAAACAATTTTTAAAAAGTGGCAACTCATTTTAGGACGGTGCACTCATTATTTCGTAAATTAATGAATTGACGAAGATGCTAAATATAAAGCACTTTAATGGCAGGATGCTGCCAACATGATGGAAGACAAAGCATATTAATGATTTTTTTATTAAGCTCTTCCGAGAGATTTATGTGGCTGCTGTCAAATTGATGGTGAGTGATGATTAGTAGCATAATTATAAGGACATGTTATCCTGCCGTATTTTTCCAACGAACTGTGCAGCAGTTGTTCTATAACGATTATGTAATTTCTATTTTTTATCCATTTTTTTTGGTCCGTTTCATTGCTTCAAAATATTTTTTCTGTTAATCAATGATGAATTTATTTGTTGGGCATTTTATGAAAATTATTTTTTCCCATTTTTTGAATATTTATAAAAACGCACATTCAGGTTTCGCAGTGTTGTGCTAACTACTTAAAAAATGTAGTTAACTACTATAGTTAACTACTTTGAAAAAATCTAGTTAGTAACTACTTTTCAACTACTTTGCACAACAGTAGTTAGTAACTACTCTTTAACTACCACCTAGTAGTTAACTACTTTCCAAACATTGCCATTTAAAAAGAAACTGGTGTTTACAACCTTTCGATACCAAATTACTAATTTTTGCAGTAGTTAACTGATAAATTTAAAGACAAACTAACTTTTATTTGAAAGGTTTTATTCATAAAAATTATATGTCAAATTAATGACTTTCTGAGATAATCTCTCGAAAAAATCATTTTGTCTATGTGTTCATCAGACAACTTGCAGCGTTTATTAGTAAAAATTTGTCCGGCAACACTGAATAGCCTTTCAACGGCAGCTGAGCTTGGTAATGTCGAATTTATTTTTAAAAATGTCTATTATATGTGTCCATATACAATTTTTTTTTTTTTTTTTTTAATCCAAATTTTATTTGACAGAAAAAATAAGTCAGGAGATCAAAAAAGTAACAAACTACTTGTGCAGACCACCTTAACTAATTAAAGTTCGTGTGCAATGTACAAAACACAAAGCAGACAAGTCGTTAAATAGAATTAAACATAATAAAAATATATATATACATACACACACATACACCTATATACACACACATACATATATATAATAACATCTTAAACATCGACGGACATGGACATAACTTCGCTCTTAGCATAATGCTTAAAGTGTTCAATTGTAAGTTGCAATTGGTTATGCATAGCTAAAACGTTCCAAAGTCTAACTCCCTTAGCAACCCAACTTCTATCGTAAGTAGAAGTTCTAACTTTTTTTGACATCAACATACCATGTTGTCTGGTGGCCGATGTGATCTTACAAAAAACATTTAGGTGCTTATAATCGTTATAAGAAAGAATTTTATAAAGAAAAATCAGAAGAATGTAATTGTGTAATTGATCAAACTTAAGAATTTTATGACTTCGGAACAAATGATTGGTGTGATCACGATAACTTAAGGAGAAACACAGGCGTATAAAACTCTTTTGCAGCACAATGATCTTATTGATTAGATATTTACTTGCGGATCCCCAGAAAACATTCCCATACAGCAGATAGGGATATAGAAAAGAATAATAAAGCATCATCATTGTTTCAGTATCCAATCTGTTTCTCGCTTTAAATAATATTCCAATAACTTGATACAATTTATTGACTATTTTGTTAACGTGATTGGTCCATTTTAAATCACTTTGAAGTATAACCCCCAAAAACTTTATCGATTGCACTCTTGGGAGCACAGTGCCCTGAATGAACAATTTATTTTTTTCTAGAAGTTTGTTATTAGTACTTATTTTAGGGCCAAATATAATATAACATGATTTACTTAAGTTCAATGCCAATTTATTTTTCAAAAACCAATCACAGAATTTTTGGAGCTGACGATTCTTTTCTAGGAACAATTCATTTGGGTCTTTTCCCGACAAAAAAATATTGGTGTCGTCGGCGAACAGGATTGTAGTACATTTATCTGATATTGAAAAAATATCATTTACAAAAATTATAAATAATAGAGGGCCGAGTATCGAACCTTGGGGCACCCCTGTTTGAATTTTAAACGGAGGAGACACTACATTATCAACTGAAACAAACTGACTCCGATCAGATAAATACGACCTGAACCAGTCAAACACAACTCCACGAAAACCGTACATCGACAACTTTTGTAGCAAAATTTCGTGATCAATTACATCAAAAGCCTTTTTTAGGTCAATGAAAACACCCAGGCTAAATTTTTTCTTATCGAAACCCTCCAAGAGAGACAAATGCAACTCGGCAATGGCCTTCTCAGTTGAAGATTTTGGGACAAAACCATACTGATGTCTATTGATCACGCTATGCTCAATCAGATAATCCCACATGCGATTGAACATTAGCTTTTCAAGAATCTTGGAAAAAACCGGCAGTATTGAGATTGGACGGTAATTTTCAAAAAGAGTCGGGTCACCACCTTTAAAAACCGGTATTACTTTAGCCATTTTT